TAACTAGCTAGCCCTTTTGCTTTGCTTCACTAAAATCCACAGTCAATTGAATTGAAAATTGGTACCCTTGCTGACTGCTGAAAAAGTACTCCTCCATTATCTGTACTGCTGTGATAACACACTAGTAACCACCACTTTAAAAACATACTACATACTACCCACCCCGTTCAAAACTTGTAATTCTGATCATCCAAATTCTGCTCATTCAATAAAATCAATATTGATATTACCATTCAAAATTTGCAGAAACTGAAAGAAAGGTTTAAGATTGACATTCCTCACAGATTCAAGGTCACCACCTACTTGAGTCCCACTTTCTGTGACCACTGTGGTTCCATGCTTTATGGGCTATTTAGACAAGGATTAAAATGTGAAGGTAAAAAGCTGTTCAAAAATAAAAACCTTAACTATTCTAGTCGCTTTGGTAACACATTCATATTAGTTAAGACAGGTAGAATATTTTCCTGCAATGGAAAATTGATAAAATTTTTTTATACCCTTGTTCTGATTCCATATATGCTGTTTTCTACAATGCCGAGCAACATCTTTGTGTATTTAGCTTGTGGTATGAACTGTCATCACAAATGTCAAAAACATGTTGCAAATTTGTGTGGAATTAATCAAAAAGCATTTTCTGAAGCCCTTGGACAAGCTAATGTAAGTGGATGTTTATGTAAATATATGGTCTCAAGTTGTACACAATAGGTAAAGCTAGTTGTATATCGCTGGGATGGTAGTATGTGCATAGATAGACCTTCAGTAGCTGCATTATTTAGCAAGATTAAAACAAGTAATCAAGCAATGCTGTTTCATTATCACAGGCTGATAAACAAAGACGACTGAGTCAGTTGCCACCATCACCCACCCATGAATCCTCTGCTCCATCAGTTGCAAGTTTCGACGACGCAATCTTGGAGAAACAATACGAAAAGATAGCTGATGAATACGAGGAAATGTGGCAGGCTGAGGCACCGAGGCCTCCACCGAGATCAAGTAGTGTTAGCAAACCTAGCAAGAAATACACGCTGCAAGATTTCACTTTTCTTAAAGTACTTGGTAAAGGAAGCTTTGGAAAGGTGAAGCAAATAACTTATCTTTCATTCAGCACTTTGAATCATGCTCTTAAATCAAATTGCTTTAACAGCTGTAGCAATAGCATTACAGATGTAATGTTGATGTTCTTCATTCACTGCTTGTGGACGAGAAACCAAACTCGTTCATGAGTCGTCCTTTTATATCATTTTACTCTGCCTAACATTCATATACAAAATGACGTGATAGTGATGGTGCTACTCTGCACTACGAACCGGGAAAGCTAAAAAAAAATAGCTTGACTACGGTGGGACATCAACATGTTGCAGAGATCACCTTATTCCCAGGTCAACTATATCTGACATACTGTTAGTCAAGCCTTTGTCATTGATATTGTTTATTTTTTAACCAGGTCCTGTTATCAGAATTAAAAAGCACCGGTCAAGTATTCGCTATCAAGGCTTTGAAAAAAGATGTTGTTTTAGAAGATGACGATGTGGAATGCACAATGATTGAGAGAAGAGTTCTGAGCATCGCAAGTCGACATCCATTTTTAACTTCCATCATTTGTGCCTTCCAGTCCAAGGTACAAGAAGGCTGCAAACGTATAACAAGAGATGGTGGAAACGTTTTTAAGTTTAACCTGTCATTTTTGTTGCAGGAACACTTATTCTTTGTCATGGAATATGTGAATGGAGGTGATCTCATGTTCCACATCCAAGTTGCGGGCAAGTTTGATAACTATCGTTCATGGTGAGTGTTGAAATGTTGAACCTAACGCAGGTGTAATAAAGTTGAGTAGTCAGCTGTAACTATCATGCTTTATTTTTTCCAGTTTCTATACTGCTGAAATTGTTTGTGGCTTGGAGTTCCTACATAGTCTTGGAATCATATATAGGTCAGTCTTTTTGATCAGTCTATCATTGATCGAAGTTAAACTTTCCTTGGTAAATTAAATACTCTTGATGAAGTGCAAACTGCTTGCAGACTTTTATCGGTTTGACAATGATGTTTTCGTTGTCTTGATTGTACTTCATTGTCTTGCAGAGATTTAAAATTGGACAATGTTCTAATGGACTCAAAAGGTCACATAAAGATCGCTGACTTCGGCATGTGCAAGGAGAAAATACTGGATGGAAACAAAACGTCAACATTTTGTGGCACTCCAGATTATATTGCGCCAGAGGTTTGCCTTTATTCTTGTTATAAATGATCACATCTTGCTATGAAACTTTAATTTCATTGTTAATTTTTTGGATTTTTTCCTCGGCCCGACACAAGTTATATGAACATTATTTTCGAGAGGCGCATGCGCGAGTAATATGGAGTGAAATAAAATGTTCCGTCGTTGTAGTTTACCTTTATTTTTTGTTTTAGATTTTGAAAGGTCAAAAATACGATGCTTCAGTGGACTGGTGGTCACTTGGTGTTTTGCTCTATGAAATGTTGATTGGGCAGGTTAGCAAATGATACTCATCATATTAATATGACATTCACAAATGGCGAATAACTGAGACTTTGATTTAGGCCTAAGTTGAATGAAATAAGGTCGCTAAAATCGGAACTGTGCATGCTTGAGTGCGTGAATAAAAATTTGAATTTTTCTGTGCAAGTAGATATGTAAATGTTAAGCTAAGTTTAATAAATTTTAAGGTAATAGCTTCTAATGTTTCTTTACTGAAAGTTATATATTACAAATCAATCTGGTTACCTTTAGTCTCCGTTTGCTGGCGAGGATGAAGAAGATCTTTTTGATTCGATATGTCGTGATAAAGTTCATTATCCAAAGTGGGTCTCACAAAGTGCCGTATCTTGTATGGTCCAGGTAAGATTGGACATTCGTTTGGGTCATTCAGTGACTTCACTTCTAACTGACGTATTCAATTGCATTATCCTGAATTACTTCGTATTGACGTGATCTAATCGTACAACTTCTATATGCTGTATCATTGTCCTTTACCAGCGGATGATTTGATGTAATATTAAGCGACACAAACTCCGAATATAACACCATCTTGCAAACTCAAGATTTTTGTTATTAAACTTAAGCTTGCTACAAAGTCCTCCCAGGGACTGACAACTTGATCTTGCTACAAACTTCTCCCAGGGACGAACAGAACTGAACAGCTTTTCCCAGGGTTTTCTCTCACTAGAAAAGATTTAACATTTTATGACCAATTTCGCATTGAAAGTCGTCAAAGGCATCACACAATCTAGAAGCAAATTGAAACAAAGATTGCTGAAATATGAGATTTTAGGAAAATTTTCCCTAAAAGCCATGCAATAACGTCGCATGCGCCTATAAATGTTTTCAGTTGTTGGAGCGTAACGTTGGCGACAGACTTGGTTACAAAGAGGGCAGCAATGGAAATATACGAAAACACGAGTTTTTCTCCAAACTGAATTGGAGACAGTTAGAAGCAAGACAAATTGAAGCTCCGTTTAAACCAAGCATTGTAAGTATTTTTTTTCTACGCTAGTGTTTTACATTCGCATTTTCGTGAATGTGATAAAAAGGTATTTGAGTATATTACTTTTGTTTTTGTTTGTACTCGATGTTTAACTTTTTCTGCACTTAAACCGTTCTTTGCGATCGTTTTCACAAGAAACTACTTCGTTTACGCCTGATTCCTCTTCATACCTTTCCCAACACTTGTATTTCGTTCTCAACAGCGTTCACCACGAGATGTAGAATATTTTGATGCCGACTTCACTGCTGAAGCGCCTAAACTAACGCCAACAGACAAAGCTTTACTGGCTTCTATTGATCAGACTCAATTCAAAGGGTTTTCATATGTCAATCAGCATTTTAACCGTGATTCTTAGTAATATGTAAGTGAGTGAAGACCATGTTGTGATTTTATATATACAGATATCTATCATACGCTCTGACTTTTATCGTAATGCTTGATGTAGACTATTCACAATTAGTTTGCTATCAGTATGGAAAATTATGTAATTATAGACTAATCGCAGGACTGTCACACGCACCTTGGTTTTGGTTTAACTTAAGAAAATGGTATTTATGGCAAAAATTATGCACAATCATGTGACTCGCGCAGGCGCTGTTTGAACTATGACGACACCAGGCCACTGCACCAGGCTCTGCGTCCATTCGGCTTGATGATGATGTGAAGTTAAGCCGTGGAACATTTAGTAACTTGCAGTTGTGTGATTGTTATATATTTATTGAATAACCACTTTGAAATATTAGTCAAAACCAAAAAATTCGCCAAGAAATTCACCGCGAATTGCAACGAAATTTCAGACACAAAATCATGTTGTGGTAATTTCAACGAACCTTAGCGATATTTTTCCTACTAAACATGCTACTAAAGAGGACGATATAGAAACCAGTGAAATGATAGAACCCCGTGCTTAACCGTGATTAAAAGAACTATCCCAATCTCAATTCTAATCTACCCATGAAACGATTTTTTGTCGGTGTTCGAAGGTCACTATATACATGAAGCATCAAAGAGGATATTCAACTAAAGCATATACATATATCAGACGTATAGTTTCTTTGGCATCCGTAGCGAAAATAGTGAAAAATACTGAGAAAGAAAGTCTTTTCGTTTTCGTCTTCTACCAGCGTGGATAAGATTTTGTTCTCAAAGCTGGATAAGGTCATGTAGATAATTGGGTGCACGGCATCTTCTCCCCAATAAAAGATTAAGTCAGCTACTTTCATTTTTACAGCAAATAAAACACTCTTCGCTTCAATTCTTGTCTATGATCGGTACGGAGCGTGGTTCTCCAATCGATGCGTGTGTACTTGTGCATTTCAATCGCACTAACACGGGGTTTAATATCACTGAGACGCGCGCCAAATTATTCGAATAAACCGTTTGACTTTCATCCAAGATAGGTATCCATATGGTAAAACAAACGATACACTAGAAATGCGTATGAAGAACAGTAACGATTTAGTTCAGTGATGAAGAAAATATTGTTTTTATGATTAGAATGAAGTTCTCAATAGAATCGAAATTTCGTTTACGAACCGTTTTTCTTCTTTTCTTGCATTACATCTTCTCCAGCCACATCGCGAAGGCCTCAACCTCAACTTTTGCGCAGTGTTGATACGCCCAGACATCCAAGTGGTTCCTGCAGGTCTCCAACCAGCCCAGCTGATCAAATAATTTATCTGCCTTGGGACAACCAAGGCATTCCAAATTAATTGAAGGGATTCTTAGTTTTGTTAAGAGATCCCTTTCAACTATCCCGCCTTTGTAGGCAATCGCGGAGTTTGGATTCTTTCTTATTCTTCTGTAGAAGTTCTCCACGATTGCTTCCAACTGCGAGATATCGAATGTCTTGACACCCCGCGGCACCCCAAACGACAGTTTGTGAATTTTCTTTTGCACGAGCTTGCACGCCTTCTGGTCTTTTTCGGTTAGGTCCGACCAACGAAGCCCAATATCGAAGAAAAAGGATTGCCCGTAGGTATCTCCCACTTTGATCATACCAAGCTCCTTGCAGCGGAATTCACTTCCAACTCGAAACCCATCCATGTCCATGACAGCGACGATATCATTTTGGCGAGCCATAGCGAACGATTTAGCACAGTTATAACCCGACGTTTATAGAACATAACTATAGGGGTACGCGTGAATGCAATACAGGAAGTTCACGATGGATAATAATAGGTAAATACGTAGAATGGGATAATGTAGAGTCGGACTTTACCCAGAAGATAGCGTAAGTACGTAGGGTTGGACTTTACCGAGAGAGTGGCGTAAACACGTAGGGTTGGACTTAAAAGATATAAATATTCTTCAACGGTATAAATAAAGGATATGGTTTTTCGTGCAATTTCATTTCGAGAAGCGTTTCTTATCATGGATTCTTCCCAAGGAAAAGAGCAGATATTCAGCGCGGGCAGTTTAACTATGGGTGAATTTGAACCGTCGGAAGTTTGGAACTTATGTCATTTGATGGACGCGATATTTGCAGAGGCTGTTTCCAGCAAGGTTGGAAAAATTTGCAAAGAGAGGTGTAGAGGTTGTGAGTTCGATAGTCCTAGTCAGAGGAAACACGAATGTATAATGTTGTCGGAAGAAAAAAGATGGGAGATGCATGGTTTGGAGGCCGTTGATCAGGTGTTTCGGCAAGGAGAGAATTTATTGAGGCTATCCGTGTGATGAGATTGGATTATAACGAGTACGCAGCAAAACATTTTGAAAACCTCAAGAGAGACCGTGAGGCAACTCTTAACTTTCTGATGGATTTGAGGCGAAGTTCAGGCATTTCTGATTACCAGCCCATTTTAAATTATCTCTCTTACTGGATTAATGATCATTAAGTGAGGACAATGTGACTGAATTGACATTTTTCATTTAATTTTACTACGCTAAATGTTATGAACCGTCTATATTATTATACTTGTATTACTACACTATTATACGTTATGATCCGTCTATTTCATTTTTTTTTACTGTTCGTCCAAGAATGATATATCAAAGTTCTCGATGGCGTCCCAAAACCTCTGTTCAGGAGTACCAACTTTGATTCCCTCAAATTTAAGTACGAAACCGATGTTCTCCCTCATCATGTATGAATAGAAGTCTATATATTTTTGTAGTTGTTCTTTCTTTTTGTAATAATTTTTTCTTGATCTTTCGGCCTCTTTTTGTTTGCGGTTCATTTTGCTTTGACTTGGTTGATTTTACCAACTATTTTTATACGCGTGGGGATTATGCAACCATTGTTAACAAATGCTCATTAATTTGATAAGAATGGTATGATTTTATGCAAATCGGTACCACGCTTGTTAACGGCGCCTCAGATGTCCTATATATGCCGAATCTAAATATGCCCAAACTAATATTAACAAGACGCCTGCTCAAGGCGTTACTCCGCCTGCAGGTGAGGAAACTACAGATGGTGACAAAAGGTTACAAAATGAGGTGATTTTGCTTTTTGTACTGTTGGATGTCATACTTTTGGGATTTTTTGTTATACATTTTGTATTCATTAATATGAAATTATTCATTGCTGCATCTTTATTCATTGATGTAACTTTATTTAATGATGTAACTTCATTCAGTTGCTTAACTTTGTTTACTGATGTAACTTCATTAATTAATATAACTTTATTCATTGTAACTTCATTGTATGCATTCAAAGGTGAGTTGGCATTTAAAGTTAAGTTGGCATTCAAAGTTAAGTTGGCATTCAAATGTGACTTGGTATTCAAATGTGACTTGGTATTCAAATGTGACTTGGTATTGGAATGTGACTTGGTATTCAAATGTGCATTCATGGAATTCACACTCAGGGACATTAATTTTTTTTTCAACTTCCTGCAAATGAGCACCAAAACCTGGAAATTAGAACAAAAATAGGGTTTTATAAGTTTGGCAAATCAATCCTTTAATAGGAACCGTTTTAATATCCCTTTTAACCCTGTTATCCCTCGCTACTCTGGTTTATATAAATGATCACAAAGCCTGGTCAAATTGTAATCAGGACCTAACGTTTCGACAGTCCAGTCTACTGTCTTCATCAGGGGTGATCTGACATCATACCCAAGGGATGATGTCACCAGCCAATAAGATGCATACATATATTCCTCTGGCAAACGGGCACTGTCATCCCTATTCAGAGCATGATTACTCATATTTATATGCCACTCTTCTAGGCAAAGTCTTTGACCATGTATCAATTGTTAGTAGTAATTACTTTAAGTTTTCCCACGCAATCTTGTGTTTGGTGTCACACAGGTGCTCTGTCAAGGGAAAACTCTAAAGTAATTACCACTAACAATCGATATGGTCAAAGACTTTGCCTAGAAGAGTGGCATATAAATATGAGTAATCATGCTCTGAATAAGGATGACGGTGCCTATTTCCCAAAGGAATATATGTGTCTCATTGACATCATCCCTTGAGTATTTAAGAAGCTTCGATTCCAGCTTTAGATCACCCCTGGTGAAGACAGTAGACTGGACTGTCAAAATGTTGGGTCCTGATTACAATTCGACCGGGCTTTGTAATCATTTATACATTTATATTTGTGATAAAAAATATCATGGTGTAATCTGAAATAAGACACAACTTGGCAACTTAATTTAAAATTTCTAAAATTACTTTGCTTCGGCTTACTTGTAGTATGTATAATTTCTGAGAGCAAACAGTACCTTATACGCGCGTAAAACGCTCAGGTTGATGCAAGTTGATAAAACAGGATGGAGCAATGTTGTGCTGCCCACATTGTTCAGTTCACTTGTATCAATATTGAACAATATTGTTAAACCCGATTCAGTTTCAACAATATTGTTCAATATTGATAACAACTCTGAACAATGTGGTAGGCACAACATTGCTCCATCCTGTTCATTTCAAATTGCATCAACCTGAGCTTTTTTAGGCGTGTATATACCTGGTTTGTATTAAAACACTACGTCAACGTGAATCACTAAATGACTAAATCAACTATAAAACAGAAAATCTTGGGTATACTAATATGCAATTACCGCCACAGCATATGAATACAATCTAAATCTTAACAACTTACCTTTGTAGTTGTTGAACATGGTTCTGAAAGCTCTTTCAATTCGACATTCATATTTTTAACGAGGGAAGAACGTCGATTCAAACACGAGGCGCAAGGACACGAAGAAAATAAACATTGCACAAAATCATTCCCAAACCTCCCTAAATGCCAACTGATGCATCCTCGTCCCCAGGGCCTAGGCCCTAGGGACGAGGATGCAACTGATGTACATAATTCATCCGTGTAACCCAGTGCTTCTCGGTCAAAATGTTTTGGGTTACCTGTAGAAATGCCAACTTCTGTCGCCCAAAACTACGACTACGACGAAAAGGAAAAAAGGCCATGGCATTTTAAGACTCCGCTGCGCATACGCAGGCGGAGTAATGAGCTATAAAGTCTTTCTTTAACTTCCTATGCATTCAATCGGTATATAAAATAGGGGGTATATGTGACCATACATCCCGTACGACACGATTTAATCGTGTAGAATCAAAAACATTTGCATCACGAAATAGTTATTATATTTTAAGCGTATTTACGCATGGCAATGATGATTTACATGAACAGATATTCTGCACGAGTGACAGCGTATTTACGCATTAAACTAGAAATACATGCATGCAGCAACCCCTCGCTATTTCAAACCAAGTACACAATTTCCTGAGTTAACCTGACCTAAACTTATATTATGAAATGACACAAAACTCAAATCAGTCTTAAAGTTTCCATCATTCAATACAAAAATAATCACAAAGCTAGGGTAAACATTGCTCGTTCAATTTTGCTGCATTATACCATGCCAGCAATTAAGTAACGGTTTAAAATCGAAATTTCAAACGATTAAAACAGTTCAAAATCTTCACAGACAAAGAAAAAACTTCAAATGTTATTTTATTCTGTAATTGCAGTCAACGCCGGCGGCTAAAAGTTTCAGTATACTTTATAAATACATATACATACATATACATATACATATACATATACATACATATACATATACATATACATATACATATACATATACATATACATATACATATACATATACATATACATATACATTATACATATACATATACATATACATATACATATACATATACATATATATACATATACATATACATATACACATATACATATACATATACATATACATATACATATACATATACATATGCATATACATATACATATACATATACAGTAGGAGGCAAAAGTTTGAGTCCAGTCGTTGTAGAATTCCAGTATTAAATCCTGGCAGCGTATTGGAGTTAACACATGCGTGCTAGTGTTTCAGTACTGTAAACTATATTAATTGCACACTGTTTTGGTCCTAATGATCTAAATTAACAAAATAAAGTTCTCATTCCTTTACACTGCCCAAGATGGGTAGGAAAAAGGGCAAAGTGATGGTGCACAAGGACAAATAGTTCCATTAAGTATTGAAGGATTCTTTCCTCGTAAGATCGCAGAAGATGTGAGAATTTAAAAAGGTGGTATGCAACTAACCTTGGAGAGGTTCGAAGAAACTAAATCCTACTCAAGCAAACTTTTAGCTGCTTTGGTCATGCTCGGTTTGGCAATATTGAAAGATATAATAGGATCCTAATTAAAGAAAAGTATCATCCAATTCTTCAAGGACATGGAATTTCATCTGGTACAAAGATGATCGCACGTCTAACTACATGATAATCACCCTAAGCACATGCACATCTTCTATGTGCCAGAAATCGTTTAGAAGCAAACTCATTCTGGTGATCTCGTTGTCATGGCTTTCCACCTCATATTCCAGATCTTCAGGGAAATGTTCTCGGAATTTTTCGTAGTATAATGTATGTAACTGAAATGTTCATCGTTGATTGCTTCTTGAAGTGAGGTGTCTCCAAACCTTTTTAAATAAATATGCGGTTACGTCACGAAAGAAAAGATTATTTGTTTTATAGGATGGATGGAAGTGTTTTTACGAAAAACAGTAAAACTCGTATTGCAGGGCAGTAGCATCAAAAAACACACGAATGCTCTGATCCTATCTAGCTCTAGTTTACTAGATCTCTTCATCTTTGTGTTCTTTGCTTTTAGCTATACTTGCTGTAAGATCTTAAGAGTTTTACACCCAGGTTATAACTAATTAACTATTATCAAGCCTGCGATCTTTGAAGATACTACGTATACAAGATAATAAGGTGTTTCAATTTAAAAAACATGCACCCCGCTTTAAACGAGGTTACTGAGTGATACTGTGTAATTATACAAGATCTTTCAATGGTTTTATCATACATGAATGGGGATGTACGGTATAAATCATTACAGTCACCTTTCAGCTAAAGTCGCATGTTCGTTGATCCCTTGAGTGAAAATAACTGGAGAAACTTGTATTAATTTTCCTTCTTGCAATTCTTTGGGTAAATAACAGAAATATTCTGTTTCGAGGAGTATGGTAACATGAATATTAGCCCTTGAAAAAAGATACACAAATATATGTACTATATATGCAACGGTATCCATGCACCTGTTTTATTAACAGGCAAAAAGAAATCGTCAGGGAGTTTAATAATTAGCATGATACTAAAGGCCCTGTTACACAGTGCAATTTTTCCTGCAACTTGCAATGCAATTCTTCTTTTGAGAGATGTAAATTTGGATACTACCAAACATAGCCTTAAAGCCGTATGATATCGTGCGCTTGCAATTGTATTATACCTTGTTCCAGTGACGTAGGGAATCGTTTCGTTATCAGAGCAAGCGAACTGAAAAAAAAGATGATGAAAAGTTCGCTTAAGGAAATATAAAGAAAGATATAAGAGTTAAAGACTTGGTCAACACATTGCATAATGACGCTGTTTTCTGGACTAGCTTTCTTGTTATCGCCAAAATAAGCCCATGAGGAATCTTCATTCTTTAACCTCACGTTATCCCTTGTCCCTTTACTGCATCCTAATAAAGTGCGCTTGTAAATGATCAGTCACATTTATGGTAAAGAACCTTAAATTTGACACATGAAAGATCGCGTATTGCAATGGACATGTCTTCTAACATTCCCATTTCATCACCTAAAAAATAGAAATATTAAAAACGATTTAGGCGTAAAACAGACCACAACATGCAGACGCTTGCATGGTCGCAATGTTGAAGTGTATGCAAAATACTGAAACCAGGATCGCTAAATAGCAAATACTAGAACAAAAATGCGTTATATAGTCACGGATATTTTGCACCCAGTTTGAAATTTAGCTTTAATCAGCCTTCGCTGAGTTTGTCCAGTGCGAATTTGCATGTGTCAATAACTTGAATTGCTAAAACATGCAGTGTAAATCGCAAGGAACACCCTTCTTATATATCTCCACGCAGAGGTAAAAAATAGACAGAAAGAGTTCCATGCACCGTAAGTGCAGAAACTTCGTATTAAACAAATATACGTGCTGGTAAAATGTAAGTGTACTTCAGAAACAATTAGATTTTGCGCGGTCAACGCTGATATTATTGAAATTCGATGCCAATGGAAGAATTTTCTTCCCACAGAAATTACGACTACACATGCATGAAGTTACGATTAATTTCGGTTACACTCGTGCATGTACATTCGCAAGAAAAGAAATAAAAAACATAGATATACTTTCCTTTCTTAATTCTAATAACTAACCGTAAGTACTCAGAAGACATTCAAATTCAGCAAGAACACCAATCTCACAAAGTTGTTTCATGAAACTTGCGTCAAATAGTGATGTGTAAATTTTAGCTTCAAATCCACAAATGAGTGCCGTTACCTTAAAACGTTACCATAAAACGGTTTAATTTATATCACCCTTGATCTACTATATATAAAAATAAACTCAACAAGACGCCTGCTCAAAGCGTTCACTCCGCCTGCATGCCAACTGATGAACATAAGTCATCCGTGGACCGTGTAACCCAGGGGCTTCTCGGTCAAAAATGAAGTTGTTTTGGGTTACCTGTAGAAATGCCAACTTCTGTCGCCCAAAACGACGAAAAGGAAAAAAGACCATGGCATTTTAAGACTCCGCTGCGCATACGCAGGCGGAGTAATAACGTAACCTATATATTGCCCACTAGCTGATACAAAATAAAATCAGATCTATACATTGCTTTTCAATTTAGAAATCCCTGACATGACTATTCTTATTACATTAAAGGGGGCCAGTCGAAGATTCTTCGCATGACAGAGTTTATACATTGAATAACTTACTGCCTGTGAAAGACAAATATCGCGACGTTGACGGAGGTCTTGCATAGTCTGGGCATGACGCGATTCTTCCTGAATAAAAAATATTTCCAAAAGTTTATTTAAGAGAAGATGTCGGTATAACCTTTGCCAGGTAATTATATCACTTCATATAACACGACTATAATATACTATACACATGCAAACACAATACAAATATATATGCCACAAAAATATATGGAAATTAGAGACGAAAGTTTTTTCTATTATAATGTTAATACGCATTATATCTTATCTCCCTCTGCGGGCTTACAGTAACTTGTGTCGATAACTTTACTGACCTGAAGTAGAACGAAAATCATTCCCAAATTTAATTTCTTAATAAGAGCGTCAACAAAATAGTAAACATCATCTACACGGAATCCAAAGTCTTCTCTCCTATCGTTCGCCAACTTTTCTTTGCTAAGTCTAAGATAAAACGTAGTTTATAGCTACTAGCTTACAAAACAACTCACTCAAAAACGCTTGATCCCAATTGGACAATTCTGTTATGACACTTTGAAAGTAAAGGATTAATTTCGTGAAGCTATACGGAAAACCTACCATTCAAAATTAGCGGACTTTCTTTATTCAACTCGTTAATCATTTTTAGAATCTGCGCCACTGAACTTTCAATAGAATTACGCAGAACCTATCGAAGAGTAATTTACATGAAAAACGTCCGATTTATTCTCTTCCTATATCCAATCAGCCAGTTTATTTGTGCCAAGCCAAGTTATTCAGTTTATTCGCGGTCAGTCTGCATGTTAGTGAATCAAAAATACCTGGCATTCGGGGTCATCGGCATCCTCCGATTCAGGTTGAAAATCATTTAGGCCTAAAGAATATATGAAAATTTATTACTTAAGTTAGGTACTACATTACCACTGCTTGGTCATTTACTGAATGTGACTTTCTCCCATGCAAGATGATCTCATAAGGTTCCTTGAATTCCGCACTTTCAACCCATGCATGCATCTCGTAATCCCGATAACTATTTCTAGTCTACTCCAATTTGCCCCGCATTCGCCAAGTTAAGTTGATCCATGCATATACACACAGTTAGGGACATGTGGGATAAAGGTGATATAAAATGTATAGGGTGATAAAAATTATCCCACACATATACCAAAAACGAATTACGAAATCTTATATATAGGAAATACGTTCATTCTACCTTTGTATGTGTATTTCTCACCATATTCTTCACGAGAAGTTGAAGCCGTGGATGGAATTGGACGGGATGTACTCAACGAAACAAGAGAATCGATGATAAACGTCATTTCATAGTATTTTAGAAGATCGTTCACCTACATGAGAAGTTCAATGGGTACATGAAGCATGCTAAAAAACAGGTTAAGACACAAAACCATTATTATCGGATCATTACTCAAGTTTTGTTTTAAAATGGTCGTGTCTCGAGGCGTCTCGCCGTTGTACAAAAGCAGATCAACTTGCCAGGTTCACAAGAAATAACCGAAGAGGTATATTCTTGGTCTTTGGTATAACTCACCTTTTCGTGCAACTTTGTTGAGAGTTCGATGACCTCCTCCAAGTTGTTATTGGCTAAAGCGCTAAAATGATGACAAGCGTAGGACAGCTGATTATATATAAATAATTTGTAGATAAAATATGCTCACAATGAGCATACAAATGATGTAGTATTTGTTTAAACCGCAAATAGGAAGCCACTTGCATGCGAATAGCGGCCCTGTATGTCATAGTTCCATGCCCGATCCTGCAACGGAGGCGCTGGCGCTATGCGTTACTTGGGCAGATAAAAAACAGCAGTACTTATATCGGGAATCATATTTTATACCTTTTAAAATTTTTACATATATCCTTAAATGCATGTTTCAACAGTTCCAGTTCAACTAAAAAAGTGTACAAAGAAATTTATTTGTTATGAGAATGCAGCATATTATTGAAGATACATGAATTAATGGTAATTAATTAATATTGCGATTGCGTCATGTGTTTGGCTTCGATTTTATCCTTTAACCCTTATTATTAAAAATATCAGTAAAAATCAAAACATAAATAACGGACAATCCCTTACTTCTTTTATTCTTAGCTCGGTTTGCTCTGTTGTCACCTCCACTTTGCCTGAACATCCAAACAGAGAGATGCAGAGAGTGTTATTACGCCAAAATCACAAGATGGTAAGCTAGTCAAAAGATCTTCGCGCATGCGTTATACACACACTACACGTTTTACGAATCGGAAGTAAAGCAAGGTGTTTTTACGTACGTAAAATAAGCTTCTCTCAGGTTTCCTAGAAGTCTTCTCAACCCTCCTTTACTGTACTTCATTGAATGAGCCGATGGAGCCCCAAACGTAACCACATCATAGCCTTGTTCTAAATAAAGACATTGGCGAAAAAAATAAGTGAAACGCTCTTTCGATGATTACATCATTAATACATTTGGTTTTGGGAGTCCTTCTATATTGGATTGAGAGACATAATCACACTCAAACTCATCGAGTCAAAGATCTACATCACGCCGTATCGATTGCATATATATAAGAGCTTGACTTTCAGTGTCGACCCTTAATCCCTTGTGATTCATGAGAGCGAGGCCCAAATTACGTGATCATCGAAGAAATGCATTAAATGTTGGAATGTTTGTAAAAATATTTTAGGTATACAATATTGCTATAACAGTATATTGCTATCAGGCCGGAATACTGAGCAAAATATAGGAGAAAAAATTAATACCATTCGTCCCATCTATGACTTTAAGTCTTTGCAAATGTAAGTTTGTTGTAACAAACGCCAAGGTCTTGTCCGTCTTCAGGCTGCTTGGTTTAAAATTACGCCAAGATGACACCCCTACATCTTGCCTTTCTGAAAAAATCCAATAAATTCAATACGTCGTAAATTAGGACGAAGAAGAGAATTTTCAACTATCAGGAGTGAATGGGAAGCGAGCGTTACACGCTTTCGTTTGCCCGTCAGTTACGCCTGGATTTTCTCCGCTACTCAGCAAGGAGCTCTCTACAGGTCATGTTCAACATCGCATGGTGAACACGTAATGGATGTGATATTGTGACATTACACTGATGACAGCATGTGGACAGAGTTGCAAAAAAGCTGCGGTACGCGGGTACCACCCGGAGGAAGGTTTGCTTTGAATGAGGTTTGTGAGGAAGGTTAAAAGTTGAGCACTCTCATTGATCACATGCATGTACCAAAAAAACAAATATTTGTTTATGCTGGTTGCCACTTGACTCACGGCATGACGTAACGTCATTTTGAGCTAGGAAGGTTTTCAAAACTTGAAATCCTACCGGAGGAAGGTTGAACTCTTTTTGCAACTCTGCATGTGGAATAGGTAATTGGGGGTGGTAGCTACATGTGACCAACATTGTATGCATGGTCATTCCTCAACATTTATTAAAATGGCAATATGACAAAAGAATATGAAATTTAAAAGTAAGTGTTTCTATTATTACTGCAAGTGATCAAATTTTCGCACCTCTCAAATTATTCAGATGACGAAATGATGCAGTATAATTACTGACTAATTTAAAATGGTTGTCGAGAATTTCCTGACGCACATTGTCCCAATCCGAGTTTAACTATGAATTGAAATTTAAAACATCAACGTTAAGGGCGAAGATAACCTGATAAATCATAAAAAATTGCTTATATTATAGGTACTCCAGACCCTACAGTTTCGTGTTTTACTAAAACTACCAGACATTTCGAAAATTTAAATTTTCCCGACTGAAAGGGTTTTAAAAAACACATTTATATATTTTGAAATAGGGAAATTTCATTTTGATCGAACCATGCAATTTGTACCAAATAATCATGAAAACTTGTAATGAATAAATATGTTAATATTGACAAGAGGGCTCAGACAAACTTCAAGACAGATACTGGACTTTGCCTCGCAATTATAATATATATAGATCAGACTATCCGCGCATCCTATGAAGAAAACCTGTCGGGTTAGCGTCAGAAATTAGATTTCAAACATAAGACCAGTGAAATGAATATGACAGTTATTTATTACAGTTTACTGCATGAGACACATAAGCATGGGTCAAAATTGAGCCCGCCATGCAAGCAATTAATGAAAATAATCACACTGCTAATTGTAGGAAAAAACAAGTTGTCGATATGGCACTTACGTCGCCAAGATTATTTAAGTCTAAAATCTTTTGCTTTTCTTCAGATATGAAAATCTTCCTGTAAGAGGCAATAAGAGATTATGATCGCTGTTCACAATTACACAATTCTTTTAATCATTGCATGATTAACTATAGGCAGTGCAGTTTCATGCATTAAAAAAGTTAGTCTATTCTTTCACATTTCCTCATGAAGTATAATAGCTTGTTAGCGTTACTTGCATGCGTGTGTGATAGCCCTATAATGCAACGTAGAATAGATGTGGATATGTATAAGATAGACATGTAGTCTGAGTATTATTAGTGGCTAAACCTCCTCCCGATAATTAGTTAAGCTGCTCAGTTCGCGCAATAAGGGAAAATATTAAATTTGTTTTACATTTTACGTTTTAAAAAAAGTTTATTTATATTGTTATTATATCGGCTCATCAATGAGTATAGTAAATTTAGGTTTGTTTTTTTGTATATTTATGGTAATTTTGTATTTTGTATATTTATGGCATTCATGGTAATGTTTTTATGAGACAAAAGAGGAGAAAGATTTCATCATTTGAAATACAAATAACACTCGCAGTAAGGTTTTACAAGATAGACTCTTGAAGAACACCTGCGATCATATGCCTGGGCTAGTCAAGTATAGTCAAGAATGGAAATGGGCTCCATGGAGTTGATAAATTGTATCGTCTATCGATCTATAAAGAAGGCTTAAAAGAGATATTACGTAGCAATAGGCCGGGATAGTTTTAGTTTAACAATATTGCCTTTCAGCCCCTCAGAGCAATGCCGAACATAACAGGATGTCTCTTTCTTTATTTGCAAATTTATAATCCGTGTAAACAATGGTACGTAAACGCAATGAATCCGCTTATTCAGCTCAACGTTCATGCATCTTTTGGCAAATGAGTAATTAGTATTAATATAATAACAATATTAATACAAACATGCGGGTCGATTAAAATATCAACAAAATATCCAGATAGGACATTTATTTTAGCCTGTTATTGAACATTTTTCTTGTATGTTCACTGGAGCTGAGTTCCCCATTCTCGTAAAAATTTTGCATATATGTTTGACTGATGGTCTTTGTTTGATGTGTGAAAAACAAGACACTCCACTTCGTGAGAAGGCTCCTCAAATACCTTCATATAATGAGGCTTCATTAATCATATACTTAATCCTAAACAATTCATAGTGTTTAGAAATTATTATCTTTTTCATGAGCAATATCACAAAGCAGTATTACACAATAGTTGAAACCAGCGTACACACTCGGGATTCCGTTCAAATTTTGCTGATGTAACGGCATTTATTCCTACATACGTCATCAGTCGCATAGGCATCCAAATGTCGCAGAAATAGGGGACAACAGGAAAGATGAAACGGAAATATTATTTGTAATTAAAATGAAGTGAACTCATTCATCCATGCAAATCACCGGAGGTGATATTGGCATGTAAAAAAGGTCCATATATACCTCGTGTATATAAGAACAGAAAAAGGTGCAGGGGTTCAGTTGACCAGATATCTAGAGTTGGACAATGGCAGCCTTTCGCTCCAAAACTCTTCTGTTCGCTTTGCTGACAGTTGTTCTATTGGTTTGCACCCGTGGTGAAAGTTATGACTTCAAAGACGAAGCAGAAGGTTTACCATCGGAAAACGAATGGTCGAATATTGACGAAGAGTACCAAGAAGATCATATACGAGTGACACCAAGTTTGATTCAACCATCACGGACAGCAGCAGGCGTTCAGCAAACTCCAACACCACGAGCAACGCCTACTTTGGGCTTTAGCACAACACGAAGGCTCAGGTTTCGAAGGTTCAGATCAAGACGAGCAACGTCAAGAAGAATAACAAGACCACCAAGACCCACAAGAAGGCCAAGACCTACTTTCCGGCCGAGTGTGAGTTATGCGATGTTATTATAAGCCATGCAGTTAGACTGTTAGAGTTAAATCTCTCGTAAACATTATTTGTGCATGCTTTCAACGATAGCCTTATTTATCGCCTATAATGGCGAATAACCCTAAGTATCTTCTATATTTTCATATTAAATACTATATGCAATCATTGCAATGCATGCTTGTGTCTTTAATAAACAAAAAACAACCCAAAAATATTTTAATCTTATTTCAGGTTTGTCCATTTGACTGTGGTCTAACGTGCGTGGTTCCTAGGCGAACGATCTTCCAGCAAAGTTATGTTTGTGTTTTGCCAATCTACACTGGTTGTCAACGGTGCTGCGAAACATATGCTTCATGTCGTAGATCAAATATTCCTCAATGGATATGTTACCAACGGGCATTGGATTGTGTTTGTGGTTACAGATCACGTTATAGAAATATCAGATGCTATGGGCGTAGATGTATCGGGAAATTATTAGGCTAAATATCTTTTGAACTGCGTGCATACATAACTAATATTCATGCATTTATATAGTCACTGGGAACTTCTAGAATTCTTTTTGCAATAAATGATAAAGTGTTAAAATAATAAACATGCAGAAAAACAAAAGTGTTTTTTGTCTTGGTAATTATTCATTTAGAACAATTTGGGATACCTTAGACTTAGCTAGTCCGAACTTATACGAACACATCCAGGCCCGGCAGGCCGAATAGTGAAAAGTTTCAATACGACACAAGGGAGCAGGCCAAGCAAAGTTTATGCACTCCTCAAAATAATATCCGCCAAATTTGCAAGGCAATTACTAATATCCATGTCTCACTATTGTTGTTTTTGTTAAAGACTCGTTCACAATTGCTGCCATCATCGATTATCTTCCTGATAGATGCTAAAGAATAGAGTCATGAATGTCCAAATAAAGTAACCTATTTCTTAGACCACAGTTAATAAAATATACATGGTTGAAGACTAAATTAAAGTATAATACAACTCATTTCTCACAACAACTTCGTTCCTTTCTCGTCACGTGTCTATATTGTATTTGAGCCAAATTTACCAATGGCATTTGTCTTGCTAAGCTCCTCAACCTTGACTTGAAAATATTTTAATTATAAGATTGCTATTGGTTTATCTGTCCAAAATACAATAGACACGTGATGAGAAAGGTACATTTTTTTGCACAAATCTACCTCAACATAGTTAATGAGTTGTATTGTAGTTTTATGTCGTCTCCTCATTCTTAACTATTTCCTAGTTTGCCTCCGTAAAAGCCCCTGAATACTGCTACAATGCCATATAATGTCATGCATAATTAAAATTTCAAACAAAACCGCCATTACCCTGCAAAGTCGACTGCAATGAAATCAGAGAGACACGTCGTAAGGCATATAGCTATAGGAGCCCTGCTGCATGCATATATTCCGTGGTTTTGAGCAGGTAGAGATTCATGATATTTTGTATCAAACAACAAGAAAGCATGAAAAACACGATCACTAAATTAACGAATAAATTTCGTGGTTTAGGCCAGGCCATATGTTAATATTACTATTGCCACAAGTATATCTAATTAACAATTAGATTACGAGCTCGAGATTTCGGGCTTCGCCCTCATCAACTATCACCTCATAGAAATTGAGAGCAAGTAATCTAATTGTTTTAGTAGAATCAGTTCATCCTCAATCAAGTTCATCCTCAGAAACCTCAGAAAACCGCGAGCCGGAGGCCATTTTTCTAAAAAATACGCCAGAAATGCGACTGTTTGCGTACTCGCTATCTATCAACAATTAGATAGCGAGTAGAGTAGCCAATCAAATTTCAGCATTTGCAATAGTATGCTAGTATGATTCTACTAATACAGATTATACAGTTATAATAATAATGACTGCATGCAATGGAAACAACGATAATCACAATGGTAATAATGACTTTTAGTTATTTGCGTTCTTGAAAGGTATTATTTCATCATCTTCGGACGTCTAAGACGTTCAAGGTCACATTTACAGACAGTGATATAGATATAGTATAGAGAAAGGTCTTTATGATGCAGCAGACATCCCCTACTCTATAAGAAAACTTGAAAATAAGGAGCGGATGCTTACGGCAGCTAATAAAAAAACGTTTTGACGCACACGAAATGACATTTTTATATTGCCCTTTGCTGATTATGATTGTTCTCTTCCTGACAACCACGAAAGCCAATGCTTAAAATATAGTGACATTCATGCATGCAAAACATCAAAATCGCAATCTGAAGATATATTGAATTTTGTAAACGAAAGTGCGCAACCAGTAGTCAGGGATGAATATATGTGTGACACTGTGTCTCACTTGCATACACTTCAGTAATGGTTTGTTTCAATAAAGATATTCATTATATTACTTGGATCTATGAAATGCTTAATTCCAAATTTTGCAAAAAGCAAAAAAGATGCTTTTTAAAACGACCTAGCAATTGAAAAAGCTTCTTTATACGCTGTTTCATTCCAGTGAAGATTAAGACTTTGTTGAGTTTTTTCGAGAAGTTGCATGGCATGCATCCTGCCAACAGACACTCTTTAAATAAGTTTGAAAGTCTGGCACATGAAATGAAAAAGGAAGACGGTAACCTAAAGCATCTTTGTAATGAAATAGGTATCATGGGCGTTGACAATCATGGCCCGAAGGGCGAAATCTCATATAAAAGTTGAAATAGTGCATGTATAGTTGTAATACCAGCTGCTCGGCAGGGGATTAAGGCAATGGCATTATACCACAAGATTCACTCGAAAAGTATTCTGTTCGCGTTATTGCTAATTTTCTTGCTGCCATGTACATATGGTGAGAATTATGATGTTTTCGAAGACGAAGCTGAAATAGCATCAGATAACAAACTAATCGATATATCATCAGAAAACGAAGGTGACGAGCCATCAGAAAACAAATTTTTAAGAATAGGAGATGTGTACCGAGCAGATTTTGGACCATGGCGAGTGACACCAACACCCAGAATTGATGTTAGCCTCATTTCAAAATCAACAGCTGCTAGAGCACAGATTTCTTCAACGAAACAAGGCGAATAAAGGCAACACCATCAGCGGTCTTCCTGACCGTTCAACAAACACCAACAGAAAAACACCAACACCACCACGACAAACAACGCGTTTTGTCTTCCGTACAACCCGACGTATCAGGCAATATCGCACTACCAGGCGACCATTGAGTTTTACATCAAGACGACCTCGAAGCACGTCCAGACCACAAAATGTAAGACAATAAAAATGATACTATTATATTGTGGTAATAAATTTTTCGTGCAACGATGGCGTTTTCCCAATTCACATATATGTATACACTCCTTGAAATACTAAAAAATCATTCTCATGCGTCCATGACTGCAATGAAGAAGTGCACTGTTTTTGAATCCATTTTAAAATCATTATAAATATTTTTTAGTTACAGATCAATCAGCTGATTTTGTCGTGGAAACAGTCCCGCTGAATAACCCTAATATACGACTCAAGAACTTGCTATATGACTCATTAACTTGTAGAAACATCCGTGCATGCATGCATGGTTTAAACATATTATCAATAAAAATATGCGCATGCATGCCTCATCAATAGAAATAAAATACGAATACGTATATTTTTTCTTACTGTTTCTACCTATACTTTCTTTTTCTCGTATCAATTTCTGAAGTTTGATCTCGACGCATATTATATGATTCAGATTATAAATTTGAAATTATATCGCGGTATTTAAGCATTTGCAAAAAGGTAAACATTTTAACGTATTATATAGTCGGTAAACTATAGGTAACGACATTTTAGTTCGAGACGAAAACTAATCATTTTACTAAATGAAATATCATATTTACTCATGACTTACAGTAATTGTTGAGGAATTCTGAACGTCAGAAAGCTTTCGCCCATCATATCCACAAACTTCACCTCTGTACCCAAGCTAAAAAGTATCGAATTGACTTTTCAACCCATTATGATGACGCGATCTTTCGTTGCAGTAAAACCACATGCAATACTTACATTGTAGGAAATCTAAATGATCTTTGTAACATATTGTCGAATTTCGGTCTATATAGAAGATGAAAAAAACACCAATAATAACCGGGCGTCACTCTCCTTGATCTATCTTCCTAAGGCACCCTATAACACAACTGCTTCAAACGATTATCGTTTACGCACTTGTTTATTGAGCCACATCTTGGTCTGAACGTTCCATCAGTGTCCGCCTGAAAATAGGTGAAAAATCTTATTTCAAAGATTAAAAAAATACAATCATTAATACTTGACCAATCTTTCAAGGATGCATAATACAATCTATATTACAATAACCTTATATACCTACCAAAGTATCTTGAACAGTTTCAACCTAAAATACATGCATTATAGTATGACATTTTGTTGTGTTAGTTAGAAAGATTTCTCAGTTAAAAGAAAGAAAGATCTTTGATCTTTTGATCTTTGATCTTTAGATCTATTTTGATAAAAATTATTTTACCTTCCAGCCTAAATGTTATTGTCCCTGAGGCCGTTGGAGAGTCCAAGCCACTAAAACAGACAACATTTCGAAATTGTCATGACATTTTGAAACTGTTGACCGCGGAAACATGTAAAGGGTCCGAAAAAAGAAACATGCATGTTATAAAGGGTACACTAGTATTTGTTTATATATCATCCAATATTTATTCTCTGCTTCTCGGAAAGCATAATGATGAACTCACGTAAGAGAAAGTTGAATTTTCTGATTCGTGGAATCCAATATATCCTTGATTGTACAAACTGCCTGACCCAAATGAGTCATCTAAAAAATTCATCTCACTTGAAGAAGAACCCTGACGTTTTGTGCAATAAGACGATTTGTTTGAAGTTAAAAAATTACATACACTATATTTAGTGAACTACTTGCCTCTTCTTTATCTCGGTCGCGAACATCAAAGACAGCAAGTTTTAGTCTTGTTACCTCACTGTAATTTCCACCAGAAGGTATGCTTATAGTCGTCAAGAAATATGGGTGACGTTTTTGCTAAAACACAAGAAAATCCAACATGCACACGGAAAATTGGACAAAAACAGTATTGGATAAAAATCGCCTCAACAGGTCCTGATCATGCTGTAATACCTCTATTATTTCAGTCTGTGCAAGTCTGGACCAAGTTGCTCCAGGAGGGGTCATAGTACTAACAACTATAACTGCATTTGGATATTTATTCTCCACAGTTGGTTTTAGATCATTGCAAGCTGTGTAATAAATTGACAATATTTAGCTTTACTTAACATATTGTTCAGAATGAGTTTTTCAAAATTCTATACATGCTCGAAAGTTATAATTTACATGAACATTACCCATGCTTATTTCCAGCAACGGAGGTTTGTGAAGCGGTTTTGGTGGTTTTGGAGGCTAAAATTGCACGAAAAAATGTGATAAATTCCGCCGCAAACACGTGAGAGCAACTTCCTGAAGCAACCACTCCGTGAGGCTGCCACTATATGTGCACTATATGTTTTCTCATCGACGCAAAGTTTCCGCCAACTAGAGCTGGCGCGGGCGTATCAATCGATAATGCCGACCAGGTTGTTCACTTGTTGAAGCATTAAGAGGCCGGTGGTTAACCTGGTACCTCAG